GGTTTTGCAGTAAAAATTGAACGGGTGCTTTAAAAAGCTGGGAGAAAAAAAAATGTTTGAAACTGCATGAGACAATGTTTGCTGAAGAGTGAACATCTCGCCCGTGTTTACAGAAAAACATGGGCGCAACACCACCTCCTCCCCTCAACAAACACTGGAAATAAATAACCTTTATTTAGACCCTCGTCTCTTTGGCGTCATTGTTGTTATTCTCAGAAAACATCTGGGAAGAATAATAGACCAGATTTTTTTTTTGTCCAAACAAATATATTTATTACAATAAATCGCATATGTTTTTATCAAAGCATTGTGTTGCTCTTCAGATTTGTATGCTTGCATCACGTTGAAATATTACAACAGCCTGATTTATATCACAACAATCATGACAGCTGTTGTAATGCAACACCAGCTTCAAAGCTCAGGAATATACAATGATCTCTTGGCTTACTTTCCTGCTTTAAACAGATGGGGTGAAACTGACAGGGATCGACAAATGTTTCTTAATTTTGATGCCTTCAGGATATAAAATTCTGCCTCATTCCAAGAAGTTGAAATAGAAATCTGAGATCAGTTCATGTGCTGCAAACAATATGAAGCAGAAAGAGTTGCAGAAATAAACAAATTACAAATAACTGACACAAAAAACTTACTGCTCTTGTAATTTACAGCCAAAGTTTGTAGATTTTCCTGTTTTATAACAAAAGTCATAATTAGGGTGGCAAACCAGAGGTTCGGGGTCCAGAAGCAGCCCACAGAAAGAAAGGCTTTGGAAAACGTGAAGGAGGGTTTTACAACTTTTCCTACTGATAAAGACCTCATCATTGGCCACTCATACTAAACAAAAGTAATTTAGTAAAGAGAAAAGTTCCTGTTTTAATACCAACTTTTTCCTGTAGCTTAATAAATTGATTCAAAATATTAAATGTCAAAGAGCCATGCTGACAGATTGCTTTCATTAACTACAGTAACTTTTCTTAAAAATGCAGAAAACCTGAGACGTATGCTGAAATTCAGTTAAATAATTAGCAATATGAATTATTATCATATTAAAGATTGTATCTTTTAAAAATAGGAATGTATATTTTTATATTTTTATTCTCGACTCTTTTATATGACTTAATCCTACAGAATAAAACAGAATGAAATTGTAGGATAAGTTGCACAGTAAACCAAAAGGATCTGATGAATTTGAATTTTTTGGATTTTTCTATTTTTTCTTCTGAAGAGAACTACTTTCTTTTCTGGCCCATCTTTTGATTTCTCTTCCATTATTAGTTGGGAAGAACTAATTTGGAAAGTGAAGCTGTTCGCGGAGCATGAATTTCAACAAGTAAAACACCAGAAGAGCTAAATGAATAAATGAAAACACAAAGGATACTGCAGAATGACCACTCGATAGCTTTCCTTATCAGCAGCTCAGCATCCATCACTTAGAACAACACAACAACGGGTACGACAGCTAGGAATAAACTAGACAGCCCTGCCGCAAAAGCATATCATATGGCGTAAATCCACAATACCCCACGGCTCAATGTAGGCACTAACATAACCCAGTATATGACAGATACTACTTAGCTCTCTGCTTTTGTAATGATCAGAGCTGATCAGAGTAAAGGTTTGAATGGGTGTCATTACCCTGTCTTACTTGGCTAGTTAAAAATCTACTTATGTGGTTAAAATCAGAATAAAGTTATATTAACAAATACAGCATGAAAACTGGTTTAGAGGATTAAACTGCTCCTGAAGAATTTCTTTTTTTTATTTTACTCATTTTTTACTAGAGTGAGATGGAGTTTGTTTTCATTATGAAGGACATTTTCATTCACTATATTTACTCTAATGCCTCGCGATTGTTTTTTTTTCCTTTCTTCTTTTTTTAAACCTAGAATTAGAAGGCTGGAGTTTAGGACGCAGATACAAATGACACAAATCTCGCTCATTTCTTGATATGTGTTATAAATAAATAAATAATCGCTTATTAAATGTCGTTTCCCATCACACGGTACTCACGGTATCCATGGCAACTCTATACTTCCTGTTTCTGGGTGACGTACCGATGAGCCTCACACTTCCGTAATCAGCATACATAAGCGTGTTGAACAATTCAAAATACATAAAAGTAAACTCCATTATGAGGAAGAAGCGAATCAGAGCTGACAACATCAACCCTGTGGGGTCTGAATGGATCCTTTACTACACTGACACAGCAAGGCAATTAGCATATTTTGCTTTATTATTATTGATTGTATGTTTTGCAAAAGACGGAGCCTTGCCCTGTCATTGCATCAAATCATCAAAAGCTGCAATAACCATGAACCAAGATGCACAATTGTCACGGTCCTTCAACATAAAGCGCACGACTTGTACTTTCTGCCGAGAAAGTAAAAGCTCTGCTTCGCGTGACGTAACGTAAAGGCGAGCCCGTGTTTTTCCGTAGAGCTGGAGACATTCACTTTATGCAAGCCTCCACCTGACCTGACGCCTGTGCACCGCTCAGGTAAGACAGAGTTATTTACTTTAATAAACGAAACGAAAAGAGCACCGAATGAGCACCTATCTGAAAGTGGAAGATGGCATGCGTTTATTTGGCAAAGTTTTTTTTTTTTTGGTTTTGTTTTGTTTATTCAATTTTTAGATAACAAAACAAAAGATTATTTTCTACGGTTTGATCTTCTTTTCTTCTCGTTGGTTTAACCGTCCGTTGTCTTAGATGAGAGTTTACTGTGATTTTTCTTTAATAATATTCTGGAATCCCGTCTTTGGATATATTTCAAATATTTGCATTCTTGTTACATAGCACTGAGAAGAAGCAGCACCTGAGTCCCACAGGAATTTGTTACGTGACACCAGAAGAACAGGTGTAACAGGTGAACAGGTGCGACAAACAACCTGTTTGCTTTCCGAAACTAAAACACCGAGCAGCAGAGATTTTCTCATGTAAAATAAAGTAAAACAATGCAAACAATTACAAAAAAGCAAGTATACATGGTGTCTACCATTGAAAGTTAAATTCTTTTTACAAAACAATCATGTTTAAAACATTCACTTAACTTTGAAAGCTTTTAAACTACTAAAAACAGCCATGCTGTTTTGTGTTAAAACAATACCCTGAACCTGACATTGGCTGGACTCTAACTAATACTACTTTCTGTTTTTAAACCACATTAAGTCAGGGTAACATTCAACCCTGACTCGTACATGACACATCCCTGCTTTATTTAAGCAAACCCAGTTCTTGTAAAAATCAAGCACACATACTAGTAGAATACTGCCTCCATGTGGTTGAAATTTTCATTAAACTTGAGAGATTATTAGGCTCTTTGGCCTAGATTGAGTGGAGTGAAGCTGCCACTCCTCCACATTGGAAAGAAGTCAGCTCAGGGGGATATTGAGAAGTTCAATGCTGAACCCTTTTGTGGTGATCTTCATGATGGTGTAATTTACAGCCCACAGCACATTTAAACAGACAAACATTTTTACATTCCAGATCTAAAAAAACAACAACAACACAGTTTCAAAATAAATGAAAGCTGAAAAGTGTGTTATGTCGTGTTAGCTAATTATTGTGGAAAGTAAAATCACAGTGATTTAGTGATCGACAACATGGGTTCAGTATTTTCAAACTGATTCATCCCGTAAATCACAAGACACTGTGCTCGCCTGCATAAGCTCCCTTTGTAGGATAAAATTATTGGTAGTAAATGCCAGCCATTTAAGCCAAAACCAATTACCAATAAGAATAATTATCATAAGAATATGCTTTAAAACATGTCAGCTAGTGCAGCTGTTTACATCATGAGAGTTTTCAATAATAGGTGTAGATTGTACCACCTGTTAGCTAGCTGTGTACACAAAGGTTTTATAATCTAGGGTCAATAGTTTTGGTCAAGTGTTCACATATATCTCTTCGTCTGTTGCTTTATATCTTATAAACCTGGGGCCCGGCTGTTTGCTGCCTGTATCAGTGTTATTCAATCAGTACTCTTGTGAACATACAGTGCTGTGAAAAAAGTATCTGGCCCCTTCCTGATTTCTTAACTTTGCACATTTGTCACACTTAAATGTTTCACAGCAAGTAAAGTTTATTATTAACTAAAGATAACTTGATTAAATACAAAATGCATTATCCAGACATGATTACTGCCAGAGCAGTTGAATCACGAAATTACTTGAATAGAATCAGTTAAAAGATCTCGAAAAGCAACACGTCATGGCTCGATCTAGAGCAACTCAACGGAAGATGAGAAACAAAGTCATTGACATGCCATCATCAGTCTGCAAAGGGTTACAATGCCACATTGAGACCATTATCCACAAATGAGGAAAACTTGGAACACTGGTGAATCTTCCCAGGTTAAATTAGTCCAAGATCACTGACTCACCCAGGAGCTCACAAAAGAACCCAGGACAACATCTAAAGAACTCCAGGCCTCACTTGCCTCAGATAAGGTCAATGTTGCTGATACAGTTACAAAAAAAAAGTCTGGACAAAAATAGCATCCATGAGAGACTTCCAAGGCAAAAATTACTGCTGAACAAAAAAGAACACATTTACCCCCCAAAAAACCCATCATGATTCCCAAAACCTTTAGGAAAATATTCTGTCCACTGACAAGACAAAAAAATGAACTTTTTGGAAGTCTTGTGCCTTGTTATGTCAGATCTAAAACTAACAAAGCTTTTTATAAAAAGAAGATCATACTAACATTCTAACCCAATTCTGCTCTCTAGCAGAAAATCCCGAAGGATAATGTCTGACCATCAGTTTGTGCCCTGACGCTCAAAAACACTTGGGTTATACTTAAGACAATGATCTGAAACAAACCAGCAAGTCCACCTCTGAATGGCTCAAAAATATAAAGAAATAAATAAATGAAGGTTTTGGAATGGGCTACTTAAAATCTGACTGAGATGCTTTGGCATGACCCTAAACAGGGCTGTTTGCGCTCAAAACTCTCCAGCGTGGCTGAATATAAAAAATTCTGCAAAGAAGAGTGGGCCAAAATCCTTCCAAAGTGTATGAGAGACTCATTGCCAGTTATCACAAACACTTGATATGCAGTTCTTGCTGCCAAGGGTGACACAATCCGTTCTTAGGTTAGTGTTAGAGAGCTATCTCTGGGATGCTGGTGTGATAACTCCCTCAGGACAAGGACTCCGATCAGAGAGTGGGGCCCAGAGAGTGCTTTCCAGATATACTTTAATGAACATTAACTGATTCAACAGCAGGCCAGTAGTACAGCAATTGGCATACTCAGTGAGAGTATGTGAGTGGTTCTAAATAACAAGAAAACAGGGAGAAAATTACTTTTTAACATAGAGCCAGATAGATCTGAACATTTTTTTTCCCTTAATAAATTAATTTACCATTTAAAAAATGGATTTCGGTATTTCCTGCAAATACTGCACTGTACAGCCTGCTGTATTAAACTGCCAGTGGACAAAATGGATGAGCTGTAGGTGCAACTCTTGTGTAACATACCTTATCATATCCTAAAGGAACCATGTCTGCTGTCTACCTTCTCCTCCTGCTGGTCCCCACAATCTCGGCTCAGACTTTTCGCTTTGGTGCCTGCCCTACTCCGAAGGTGCAGTCTAACTTCAGCCTTCAGCTGGTGAGCACAAACAGTATTCTGTATACATACATACAAAGTAAGCAAAGAGCTGTACAGAAATGATGGCTCATCTTTATTTACAGTACCTGGATAAGTGGTATGAGATTGAGAAGCTGCCTGCTTCTTTTGCCAGAGGACAGTGCATTGAAGCGAATTATTCCGTAAGGAAAGATGGGACTATCCGAGTGTTGAACTCTCAGGTTTTGTAAGTAGTAAGCAACTTGTGGTTTGCTAAAGGAAAACACCATTTTAATTGTAACAGGTGATAACATAGCAATTGATTTTCATTATGTTTTTGCACGGACGACCAGTCCAGCCACTACACTTCTCCAGCCCGAACGACATTCCGATGTCATTGCTGTATATCCTGGTGGTGTGGATCAGTGAATCGATGTTTTATTATTGCACCTGTGTATTTGCTGTATCAATATGTACATCACTGAAAAAACAAACAAAGACAAAAAAACCTTTCACCAAACAAACCTCAATATTGGCAACAATGACGGGTATTTTTTTTCCCTGCAAGGTGCAGTTCAGGGTGTGGATTTAACGTGTACACTAGGCACCTTTCTTCTTATGTATTGTACGAGGAGAATGAAAACAAACCTGAGTGACATGATTAACATCTTGACCCTGAACTGTTGACTGAAGGCTCGGTGGCGGCACACCTCATGTGGCGTTTGCTGTAATGACACAGGGTGCTTGCTCGTGCTGAACAGAAGTTTGCACAAAGGAAAGAGATTTTGTCTAATTTGCTGTAATTGATTGTGGTAACAAGTAATTTGCTTGATAAACTCATACAGTATCTGTGTGTCTCAGGGGTGGTAAAAGGGAGTTTATAGAAGGGACAGCTGTGGTTCCAGACCGACAAGAACCAGCTAAGCTTGGAGTTTCCTTCTCATATTGTAAGTATTTTGTTATCATCCCATTTAAATCATAAAGTACTCTATCATCATTAAAGGGCAAAAAAAGTACATAACTTATGGCATTTTTATTGGACCGCATTAAAAATGACCATAAAATCATTCTCTGTAGCGTTGGTAGAGATAGATTGTGGTTCTTTAGTGTAGTAGCTTAAATATTCACCTTGCAAGCAAAAGATTTGTGGTTTAATTCTAGGAGGGTTTGGGGGTGTGTCAGGATGAACAACTGGTGTAAAAACCTGCCAAATGAGACATGTGGAACCAGCTGCTGTGGGAGCCCTTTGTGAATAAGGGAACAGCTGGAAGTAGTTTCAGTGCCAGTGACCTCTCAGAAACAATTTGGTGCCCCTTATTTAGGGCTTTGAGAATGCCAGCAACCAAGAGATGGCAATATCACGCCAAAAACTGAATATTAAAGATGGAGGGAGTAATCAAATGTAGTGGTATACCATTTCACAACTTCAAGTTTAGCTGGCAAATTCATGTTTAAAAAAAAAAAACAAAAACAAAAAACTAAGAAACTCAGTCACCTTTTGGATCGGATGATAGCGCAGATCTGCAATTTGCAGCCAAGGTGCTAAGTGTCATCCATAACACTTCACACTAGGACACACACCACTTTAGTGCAAGCTGGAGATCATTAGTCAACAAGTCAGCAGGATAACAAATTCAAATTGGAGACATGATCCTGAGATGACCAAAGGTGTCACTGTATGCTCTGTTTGACATCTAAATGCAGCAAAGGGGCAATGTGGACCAAGATCTCACTGCAGCTGTATGGATCATTAGACCTCATATATAGTGGCTTTGTCATTTTACTTTTTAAGGCTTTGTATTTGGAGTAATGTATATCATGTTGCATCAATTCTGCTTTACAAATCTAAATCATTTGCAAACTCACCCATATAAAAGTTTGCTATTGTCTGTATTTTATCTTTCTGTGGCTGTGCTTTCTGTTACCAGTTACACCCTATGGCCCATACTGGGTGCTGGAGACAAACTACACCAACTACACCATTGTGTACTCCTGCACAGACATTCTGCGCATATTCCACGTTTACTACGCCTGGATTCTCGCACGGTCACCCTCCCTGCCTCCAGAGACGGTGCATTACGCCAAGCAGTTGCTAACTGATAAAGGAATCGATATTTCCAAGATGACTCCCACATATCAGAGCTGTGGAAATATTTAGGAACTGACAGAGAGGTTCATTCATTAAAGGGTTTTTCTGTTTGTAGAACTAATTATTTATCCTACCAGCCATGAAATCATAGTACATCTGTTACATTGTTGTTTCTTTTTATTTCATCATTGTTTTAATCATTTTAATTTTGTCATTTGATTACAAAGTGAATGGATTAAAGTAATATTTTGAGATAAAATTCATTTGATAATTAAAACATTTATATAGTACATATTCTTGCAAAGAATTAAACACTACATCTGTAAAAAAGTGATTGGTTTGGATAGTAATTAGTCAACAAAAATAGCAACATCCTTTTTATATTCTATCTATAGTGCATCTTTTATTATTTACAACAATGAGCAAATCATGCTGTTCTTGGTGATGGAGCGAAAAAGAAACTGTGGATCTGTTCTACTTAGATTAGAGCTGTTTTTTTTTCTTTTCATTTGAACTGGAAATAATCTATTGAACATGCAGTCCTGTCTCACAGTGATGCAATAAATGATTCTATGTGCAACTTTAAATACTGATGAAATTAATCAGAATTCACTGATGAGTGGGTGACAACATCAACACTGTGCAGTGAAACAGAAGGTGAGAAACTAAGTGTACTCCTACTGTGACTTTCTGTACTCTTACAGGGTCTTCTCAGGAGTGGACATTGCAGCAAATTCACTCCAAAGCCAGACTGTGCATTGCTCAGAGAAACTGCAAAAAACCCAAGAGCTACTCTTCAAATTCTACAGGCCTCATTTAGCGTTACGGTCCTGGGTCGGTGACCCGGTGTTTTGAGTTTTTGGTTTCCTGTCCTGTTTCTGTGTCCCTTCCTGTGTTCCACACGTCCGTTTTATTTTGATAGCTCTGTCCTATCTGGAGTGTGTCTATTTTTGGTTTTCCTCATCTCGTTTTTTGTCTGATTAGTCCCAGCTGTGTTTCCACCTGTTTCCTATCTCCTCGTTTTCCATCCTGTGTATTTTAGTTCTCAGTCTTTACCCGCTGTGCTGTGTGTTTTGTCGGCCAGCCTGTCTGTTTAGTTTTCAGATTAGTTATGGTATTCAGCAATAAAGTCTCTGAGAGTCGGCACTTTGGGTCCTATCTTGCCTGCACGCAACCCTCATATGTTAAATGTTAATGTTCATGACAGAAAAAAAAAAAAAGACTGAACTAATAGGACTTTTTGGGAATGGGTGCTAGGAGAAAGCCTCTTCTCTTTAAAAACAACATGGCAGCATGGCTTAGGCTTGCAAAGTTGGATCTGTACAAAGCTCAAGACTCCTGAACAATGTCGTTTGGACACACAAGACCGTAATGAAGATGTTTGGTCCTAAACCCACAGCTCCACATTTTTTATTTATTTATTTTAATATTTTTATTGAGAGACAAGTGTACATTAGTTTACAATGACAATACCATCTGTTCCCCTCACATATTTGTTAGTTTTTCTTACATGAACAGATACAATAGTACACACACACGCGCGCTTAAATAACCTAAGAAGAAACCCAAAACAAACACACAGCTCCACATTTGGAGAAAACCAAATACAAGATATCAGCACAAACACCTTATACAAACTGCAAAGCAAACTGGTGATGGAGGGATGATGATTTGAGTGGGCTCAAACTCTGCACAAGCAACTGATAAAATCAAATGGAAAATAATTACTCAAGGCATTACTGCCAAAGATACAAGTGACTGAATCGCAAGATGAAGTTTTCACATGACTCAGTGACTCATGGGCAGTGTTGGTCAAGTTACTTGAAAAAAGTAATCAGTAACTAATTACTGATTATTTCCCCAAAAAAGTAATCCCGTTACTTTACTGATTACTTATTTTCAAAAGTAATTAATTACTTAGTTACTTTTTAAAAACACGATTTACAACCTGAATAGGTGATAAAGCGATAGATCTTTCAGCCCAATTCTACTTTTTCTGCATAATCCATCATACAAAATGTAATCAAATGGAAAAGTCTCTTTTTAAAACTTGTTTTATTAGTTTTAATCTTTTAACTTTATGCATCAAGCAAAAATTTAATTATATGCAACATTCTCTGACTTGAAGAAATTAGTTTAACATTTAAACCTATTTTCTGCACATTCCAGCACATAAAATAAAATATTTTGTGTGTTACACTCACTCTTTCAAATAGATGCAAGTAAAACACAGCAGAAAATAAATAAAGTCAAAGACTAGCGGTCCTGTTGCTCTATTTTCACCTGTAAAGCAGGAGTTGGGTAGGCGGAGGTTTACCCTGGTGCAGGTGTGCCGCAGCGGTCAGTGGAAGAATCCGCGAGTTTCTCTGTGAATTTCCCATTACGTCGTTGCGCACTCGGTGCTTGTTTAGGGGTTTTTTTTCTGTAAAAAGAAGTTTTCTTCCCACGCACAACGGACACTAATGTTTTTGTCACTTTTTATGGAATCAAACTCAAAGTAAGGTCAGTACTTCCACGCTTTAAACGCTGCACGCTCATACTCTCTCTGCACTCGATATATGATCCATTGTTGATCTGCACACAGCTGTTGTCACGAACGTCGCACTCGCTTACGTCACTGTCATGAGACATTCCTGCAAAAAAATGCTGGCATGTGATCCATGCATCACAGTTAGTGATGTAATGTGAATTCTCTCTTGCATTTTTCCATAGACTGTTTATGAAAGGTTTGACCAAAGAGCTCACTCACTCAGCTCAGACCTCTATTAGATATCCGAGTGCCTTTATTGTAATCTCGGGCGACTTCAACCATGTATCACTGGACAATACACTACCAACATTCAGACAATATGTGGACTGTCCCACCAGGGGAGAAAAAATTCTAGACCTACTGTATGCTAATGTCAAGGATGCATACAGCTCCTCCTCCCTCCCCCCACTTGGTAGGTCAGATCATAACCTGATTCACCTCACCCCCCGCTATGTGCCAATTGTGAGGAGGGAACCTGTGACCACAGGATGTTAGGAGGTGGTCAGAGGAGGCCTTAGCGGAACTACAGGGCTGTTTCGAGGTGACCAACTGGGAAACACTCTGTGAGCCTCACGCCGAGGACATCAATGGGCTTACTGAGTGTATCACAGACTACATAACTTTCTGCACCGACTCCATTGTTCCAGCTCAGACTGTTCATTGTTACCCAAATAACAAGCCGTGGGTGACTAAGGACATCAAAGCCCTCCTCAACAACAAGAAGAGGGCTTTCAGAGGGGGCAATAAAGAGGAGGTGTCATGGTCCTGAGTCTGAGGACTCTGTGTTTTGTGTTTCTTTATATTATTCTTTGTTCTCGGTTATTCTGTTTTGTCTTTTGTTTAGGTTTGCTATGTGTTAGTGTTTTTGTTTCATGCCTGCCTGTGTTCTCTCTGTCTGTCCATGGTGTTATTGTGTCTGCTCATGAGTCTGCCTGTCAAGTTCAGTGTCCTGTCTGGTTCTCTGTGTCTGTTAGTTTCCTGTTTTATTCTGAAAGTTCATGTCTCATGTCAGTGTGTTCAGTTTTACCTCTCCCCTGTCTCGTTAGCCTAATTGCTCCCAGCTGTGTCTCCTTCCTGTGGCCCATTCCCTGATTACTCCCCGTGTATTTAACCCTGTGTTTTCTTGTGCTCTCTGTCGTGTCGTCTGTCTAATGAGTTGAATCTGTTTTTCAATAGATTCGACACCACAGTGTCTGCTCCCACCCCCACAACCTCACCTGTAGTCAGCCTGGAATCCAGAGCCACACCACTGTGCCAGCCTCTCTCTTCACATGGCGCTGTTGCCTCCTGTGAGATTCCTGACACCCCTCCCCCACCCATCACCTTCACTCAATACCAGGTTGAGATGCAAATGAGGAGACTCCACTCAGGCAAGTCTGCTGGACCAGACAGAGTGAGTCCCCTCGTCCTCAAGACCTGTGACTCCCAGCTGTGTGGAGTCTTTCATAAACTGTGTAGGAGCCATATGAGTTGTTCCTTTTTGACTAAGTGGGTTGGTTTAAATGGACTCACTGTATTGGTGCACGGGTGTGGGGAGACCACATAAACGAGGCGGCTAGCTAGGAAGAAGGAGGTCGGTCGGTTTGCAGAGTGAAGGAGGAAGTCCGTGGGGATCAAGGACGCATCTGTCCACTAAGTTAACTGGTGTGTTTTGTGATTTGTCTTTTGGTTGTTTGGTGTGTGAGTGAGGTAAGTAGGAGAGTCGGCTGAAGGCCTGTACAGGTCCGGTAACGGTCTCCTGCAGACTTCTTCTCATAGACCAGGGTTGGCACCGATGGAGAGCGGGAGGAGTGAGTGGAATAGTATGGATGGTAGTGAAGAGGAAGAGATTGGCGGGCAGGGTGACGAGAATGAGTGGGAAAGGGGAGGAAGAGGCGCAGAGCTGGTGAAAGGAAGAGGAAAAAGAGAAGTGAGGGTAGTACGGAAGGGACTGACAGTGAAGGTAATGAAGAAGGAACGACTCAGAGTATGAATGTCATTGTCAGGTTTGAGGCAGAGGGTGTGAAGAAAATAGATCCACTTAAGCTGACAAGAGCACTTAAGGCACAAGTTGGGGAAATCAAGTATGCTAAGATACTCAGGGATGGCAATTTACTGGTGGGTTGTAACACGGAAGTGCAGGTGGAAAGAGCTAGGAAACTTGTGGGGGTGTGCAAAGCCAAAGTGAAGAATACTGCAAGAGTAGGGGAAAGGAGCACTAGTGGAAATAAAGGAGTTATTGTGGGTGTGCCATTGAATGTAAATATGAAAGAACTGATGGAGAATTTAACACTGAGAAATGGGGAAGTTAAAGGAGCAAGGAGAATGACGAGAGGTCCGGAGAAAGTAGAAACAGAAACTGTGGTGGTGGAATTTGACACGAAAGAGGTGCCAAAAGAGGTCTTTTTTGGATTAATAAGGTTCAGTGTGCGGGAGTTTGTGCCTAAACCAATGAGGTGTTTCAATTGCCAAGAATTTGGACATGTTTCCAAAGTGTGTAAAGGGAAGAGGAGATGTGCTCGATGTTCTGGTGATCATGAATGTGGGAAGTGTGGTGTGGGAGTAAAACCTAAATGCTGTACTTGTGGAGAGGAGCACAGTGTTGCTTTTTGGGGATCTGAAGTGTTGAGGCAGCAGACAGTCGTTCAAAAAACCAGGGTACTGCAGAGAGTGTCATATGCAGAGGCATGTAACATGGTGGAGCGAGAGAGACAGATTGGGGAAACACTGGGTGGAGGAGAAACACGTAATGGTGAAGGTTATGGCAATGGTTGAAAGGAAAATAGAAGAAGAGAGGAAGAAGATGGTGACATTTGTTGCGGGGGTAATAAATGCAACTTCAGATGTGAAGTCCAAGACAGAGGATCCAGATTATTGTGAAGGCGGCATGTCATAGTTTGGACATGAAGAATATCAGGTGGGAGGATATAAGAGGTGAACTACTTAGTCAGGCAAGTCAAGAGGGATAATGTGGTGGTTAGTTCTTATAACCATATTACTCTTACAGTGGAATGCCAGGAGTCTCTTGTCAAATGGTCAAGATTTTAAGCAGTTTATTTACGCACAGGTGGAAAAACCTGACCTAATTTGTATTCAGGAAACATGGTTGAAGCCTTTTTTGGATTTTAGAGTGTATGGGTATGTTGCTGTTAGATGTGATAGGGAAGAAGGGTCTGGTGGTGGGTGTCTTACGTTGATTAAGGAAGGTATTCTGTACAAGATAGGAGACAGGGAAGGGGTTTTGGAGTATGTAGTGATACAGGTTTGGATGGGAGGGAAGGTGATTATGGTTGTAAATTTTTATAATCCTTGTAAAAAGTTAGACTTGACTTTTGCTTCTAGTTCTTTGGCGCCATTATGTGAATGGCGAGTAAACAATAAGTCGTTTGGTAGTGATCATTATCTGGTTGTGAGTAAGATAAGGTTTGGTCTCATACACCTGAAATGTTAGGGGGGAAGTGGGTGTTTGGGAAGGTGAATTGGGGGAAGTTTAGTAGGGTTTGTGAAAGGAAGCTTTTACAAGTTCAAAGTCATTTGAGTGTCGAAATTATGACTGGTAAAATCAGTCAATGTATTTTAAGCACTGCTGGGGAGGCTATTCCAAAGACAACAGGGAAAGCTAGAAGGAGAGACGTCCCATGGTGAAATGATGAATATCAGTTAGTAGTTAGAGAATGAAATAGAGCCTTTAAGTTGGTCAAACGCTCTCATAATTTTCAACACTTGACTACAAAAGAGCACAAGCAAGAGTTAGAAGTACAATAAGAAGAACTAAGAGAACTACTGGAGAGTTTCTGTAGATACAATTGGTAGTAATACTCAAATAGGGGAAGTGTGGGGGATGATCAGGAAAGGGGAGAAGAGACTGAGAGTTATCCAAGTTCTTGAATAAGAATATCGAGTAGCTGTTACTGATGGGGAAAAAGCGATTTATTGGCAAGTACTTTTGTGGATGATGCATAGTGGGAGAAATTTATCAGAGGAAAGTAAACGAGGACGTGAGAGAACTAAAGAAAGATATCTTGAGCTTTAGGGAGGAAGGACAGTACTGCGGATGTAGTGGGTTTTCAGTTCCCCAATAGAGAAGGGACAAGAGCTCTGGGCAGAACTAGGAACAGTGCTCCAGGGAAGAATGAGATCTGTTATGTTATGCTGAAACATCTAATTTCAATTCAATTTTATTTATATAGCGCCAAATCACAACAAAAGTCGCCTCAAGGCGCTTCATAGATACAGAGAAAAACCCAACAATCATATGACCCCCTATGAGCAAGCACTTTGGTGACAGTGGGAAGGAAAAACTCCCTTTTAACAGGAAGAAACCTAAATCTAAGTGATGCAGCGTTAAATATATTGCTAATGTTGTTTAATAAGGTATGGACAGTAAGTGCGTCTCCCACGTCATGGAAAGAAGCGCTAATTGTACCAATAAAGAAACCAGGGAAAGACAATAGCGATCCTGGAAACTATAGGCCCATTGCTCAGACTTCCAATATGTGTAAACTAATGGAAAGGATGGTGAATGTGAGATTGGTTCACTTTTTGGAGTCAAGAAATGTCTTAGCACCCTATCAGAGTGATTTTCGTAGAGGAAGAGGGCCGATGGATCCTGTCTTATGTCTGGAAGATGATATCAGGAAAGCGCAAGTTAATAAAGAGGTGGTGGTTGCTGTCTTTGATGTGGTTGCTGTCTTTGATGTAGTGAGGGGGAAGAATGTTGACCATCTCGTCTGGAAACTTCAAGAGGGGATAGGTAAAGTGGAAAAGTGGGGTGTAGACTGGGGTTTTAAATTTTCTGTTGAGAAAACTAAAGTAATGTTTTTCACAAATAAGAAAATTGGGGGTAATGAATTGTTGTACTTGTATGGGAAAGAGTTAGAAAGGGTGGATTGTTTTGGTTTTTGGGTGTGGTTTTTGACAAGAGATTGACTTGGAAACATCACGTAGAGCACGTTGTGGGGAATAGTAAAAAGGTTCTTAATATTTTGAGGTGTTTAGCGGGACTAATTTTGCTGCACTTAAGAGTATTTATCTCACGTTGATTCGATCAAGATTGGATTATGGGTGTGTGGTATATGGATCAGCGGCTAAGACTTCCTTGAAGAAGCTGGATGTAATTGAAGCTCGAGCGCTGAGACTCTGCTTAGGGGCAGTTAAAACAACGCCAATATGTGCTCTACAAGTGGAATCAGGAGAAATGCCGCTGTGTATTAGAAGGCAACAGCTGTTGGTTAATTATTGGATAAATTTGAAAGGTCATGCCGAAACCCATCCTGTTAAGAAAGTGTTAGGGGCTTGTTGGGAAAGAGGGAAGGTTTTTAAAAATAGTTTTGGGTGGGTTGGAGATGATAGTGCGAGAGATCAGTATAGAATAGTGATTGTGAAACCACAAGATCTGGTGTGGCAACATGTGGTATGCAAAACACCCAAAAGGAAACACAGACCCGAACAAAGGAAAGATTTCTGACATTTTTACTGGAAAATAGGTTCACGAAAACAAGACCCACATAACTACAATGTGTCATAACTATTACATCTTAATAGGGAACAAGTGAAGCAAAAATGTTGCAAATCAACATTCATAACTTTGTAATATAACTTCTGGTCCCTGTGATCTCAGCTCAGACGCATTAATGGACTCCCTTTCCTACTACTTCACAGTTGAATTAATAGTACTCTATTTGTGTTTCTCAGGAGTGATGATACGTGGTCCATAAAAGGTATAGCCAAAGTTGTGGATCCCAGCAAAACTTGAGTCAACTTCTCACCTTGTATGTAGTTTTCTTATCACCCCTCTTTACAGCTGTAAATATACTGCTTTTGGCACCTTTTCATTTCTTCTTGCTAATTGTCCTTTTTTTGGTCATTATTACTCTTTTTGTTTTTCTTCTTCGTTTCCTAAGGATAATTAGGCTTTTAAGATCATTACAAACTGATGAAAAAAGACAACAAAACAACTAAAACAATATTTTGCCTCACTTATAGGACCTTTGTTTACCTTGTAACCATTCAATAAGCTTTTCTGAACTCATCTTGATTGAAGGCACACACAACAATAACAACATCAGTTAACATGTAATGCAGTAGTTTGTAATGTTTGTAATGTCACTGATATTAAGGGATCTGTCACAGCCTTGTATCATTTATGTATATATATATGTGTGTGTGTGTGTGTGTGTATGTAGCATATGCATTATGCTGGTATTTGCCAATGTATTTTGAGACTAGGTTCAAGTCTGACTTTGGAGGAACAATTCGTACATGGAAAATCAGAACTGTATCATGAGATCTAGAGATCAACAAAAGTCACACCCTTTGGCTGCACCTAGAAATTCTTTTTATGAAAGGTTTTAAACAGAATCAGTGAGAGAGGGCGGCCTTAGCAGAGTTCATTGCCCTGGGGTAACATGACTGTCTTGTTGTTAGCTGTGAACTAGTTCTGTTGTTTAGGGCTGAACAGCCCAGTTAGTAGACATTTGAGGTTGTGCTGAAAAGAATTGCACAAAGAATTACACAGTTTTTACTGTTGAACTGTAAAAACTGTGCCATGAACAAAACTTGTGGTTGTACAGTGACTGAATTTCCAATAACAAGGGGCCCGATAACCCAAACTCCCAAAACACGTTTCACAAAAACAAAAATTCTTTCTTTTAGTAGATTTCCATGCACCCTTGAGCATCCTCAAGAGGCTCAAGAGCTGGTTTAGTGTTCTGCAACCAAGATGAATCAGAATTTTTAAGGAATATGAGGAGAATTGGCCACAGAGATGGGCACATTTTAGTATATTAGCGTATATGTTCATGACATTGTCCCTGCCTTTTTTTTTTTTACACCTTAAATGAAATATGAGAAACTAATGATAGTGAAAGATGTCACCACAGTTTTCACTTATTTGATCAATATTTCAATAAATGATTAAGATACTTAAATTTTGGGAAGGAGCTGATAAACTATAAAATATATTGTTGTAAAACATCACCATATACTTTGAGTTCCATCAGCATCTAAAAATAAAGCATCCTGACAGTGTTACTGTTCCTCAAATCAAAGTGCAGTGACGTAGATATGGAAAATTTCCAAGTTCCTTTTGGAAATTCTTTTAGACATTGTCGTTGTGTTAAAGGACATTGACAAAGGGAGAGCTGTTAAGGTGGCAGATGATTGCTAGCAGGCTCTATTTGACTAGGTAAAGCTCTAATGTATTTACTACCTTGCCATAAGTCAGTCACTGGTATCCTGCTCTCTCATTTGTAGGCGACTAAATTGCTGATCTCAAAGTTGAGGAAAGTTGCCTTGGGATCTGCTCACTTTGTGTTGCAAGTAATATTTCCGTCTGTAATCACTACCGAATGTCACTGATTTCGACTCACTGGGAATCGTTTCCTTTGTGGATGAAGTTTTAGTTGTTTAGTCAATATAAAGATGAAGCAAACGACATTAGAAAAGTCTTCAGTTAAGACATGAACTATTTTCTGAACATGAAAATGTCTGCTGTAATTATTTCATATTGTAATCTTATCTCCTGCTAAAAAAGGCTCAGGTGATGCAAGTTCTCTTATTCTAAGGTGAGGACAATATCTTAGGAAATTTTTCTAATAATTAAAAAAACCCGATAGAAAGGTTTTGTTTGTGTTCAGTTTATCCTTTTTCTTTATAAAAACAAAAAGGCGAATCAATTTATTCTGCAGTAGATATTGCCTTTTTAATCCTCAGTTTTATTTTGTAAAGCTGGCTCATGATCAATCAAATTTGTACAGCATGCTTCTCTTGATTGATCAGTGTGTGTTATCCAGTAAGTAAATATTGACTGTGTACCTAAACACAGATGTAAAAAAAAAAAAAGAAAAGTGTGTATACTGAAGCTATAATGAGCTCTAGGTGCAGCTCTTACACAACATAACTTTTGTAATCGAACAAAGAAAGCATGCCTGTTGTCTGTGATCTCAGTTCAACTTTGAAGGTGCAGCCCGGATCAAAACCTGTATGAACACAAATTAAAAAAACAAATTAAACAAAGCTGTTGTAAAGGCTCACCTTTCAGCACATTCACTTCACCAGATGCACCTTGTTTCTTTTCCTCACCTTTGATTGGGTGTGGTGCTTGGCCTTAATTGCACTCACCTGTCACTCGTTATATAAGGACTGCACTCACCTACCCCTCACTCTTTCTTCACTCCCACATGGGGCGGCAGCTGAGGTGAGTTTCTCTTTGAGTCTCCTGAGTTCATGTATCATTTTGAGTTACTTAAATCATACTTTATGTCCTTTTTAGAGAGAGCAGTCCATGTGTGTCTTTCTTTCCTTTACCCGTTATACAATAAAACGACAAAACCTGTAAATGATTGACTGCTTATTCTCATTCTAATCGGATGAGCCCATGATGATGACTACTGAAACCCTGAACCTTCCTTCCTCCAAAACATGGTCCTCCGAGCCGGAGTAGCGTTAGCGTCATGGATTCACAGCAGCCATTGACTGAAGATTTGAGACGTTCCGGTCGTGATAGTCGACCTCCTGCCCACCTGCAGCAGTATGACGTTCAGTATCCTGGAAGTAGAAGTGCTAGATGTGATACAGAGAGTCAAACAGAATGCCAGCACAGTGACAAAGACACACATGGGCTGCAGGATCCTGTCGGAGAGTCAGAAAGACAACCAGAGACATCCCCTGCTCCTTTACCCACCAATCAAGATGAGGTGATGAGGGAACTCCTGATGACAATGAGGGAGATTAGGCAATTCATGATTCAGTTATCTCCTCCCCATTCTCGCAGTTCCTCCAGATCTTCAATTCACACTGTCTCTGATGAAAGCAAATCCTCTGTTTGCGGTTTACAAGCCATTCCCCAAACACATCAGCAACATGAGCAGTTCCCAGTGATTGATCCAGCAACATGTCAATCACCCTCTCAGCCCCCCCAGGTTAGCCGTCACTCTGGTGCAGTTCTGGCTGCTAGCCCTCCTTTCCCTAATTCAACAATATTAGATGCTGCAGTTCCTTCAAGTGGTTTGCCTAGACCAGTTTTTCCTACACCAGATGAGACTCCTTTTAATTTCCTGGCCACACCACTGCAAGGTCCCCACCAGATTTCATGTGTTCAACCTGCTGTTCCTCTAGATGAAGACCCCGCTCAACCTCTCGTCTGCATTGCGGAACCAAGGCAGCACCCTCCTGTAAAGCAGCAACCAGCTACATCTGATGGTTTGCATGCACAAAAACCTTCGGTACCCATTACTGCTAGTTCTAGTCACCCTGTTAGCACTAGAACACATGTGTATAAACTTGAGGGTCCTTCTTTCCCAGACCTTACCAGAGAAGATGAAATCCAGTATAGGCTGTTACGAATGGCCCTTACTAACCTGCTTGACCCTCATGAGACGGAGCACTTTAAATATCATGTCCTCCTCGATCATCTGAAAGTAGACCAAGCTAAACGGTTAGCTATTTCCTTTTCCTATGCTCCTGACCCATACACTCAAGCCATCAAAGCTCTTGATGAGCGTTATGGGCAACCAAGACAGCTAGCATTGAAAGAGCTACGGAATATACTGGAGCTTCCTCCTATCAGAGCAGGTGATGGTCGGACTCTGGATAACTTTGCTCTTCGTGTGCAAGCTTTAGTTGGTTTGCTTAGCACTATGGGTGATCAAGGACGGACAGAACTAAATTGTGGCTCCCATGTCGATCGCCTACTTGAAAAGTTGCCCGCAGAGCATTCCAGTCGCTTCAAACGGCACATTTACAGGGAACAAGGAGATATGATGTATGACTTACCTTTGTTCTCATCCTGGTTGCAAATGGAATACAAGTGTCAACCAAGAAAGGACAGTGTCATGGTCCTGGGCCATGTTGGCCCAGTATTCTTAGTTTTCTTGTATGTTTGTATTTTGTTCCCTATTTAGGCCATGTTTCCTGAGTTGCCCTGTTGTGTTGTTCCCTGAGTGTTTTCCCTTCATGGCTTTTACCCCCTGTGTGCCCCTCTGTGTATCTGTGAGCCCTCGTCCCTCCTTGTTTCATTCCATGTTTCCTCAGCCCACTATGCCCGCGCTCTCTCTCTCTCCTCCTGTTTGCACCTGTGTACTTCCTGTTTTACTTTGACAGTCTCCCGTCAGTGTTGTTTACTCCTGCCATGTCATGTTATGTTTATCTGTGTCAGCTGTGTTCCCATGTGTGGCCACTTCCCCTGATCATCCCTCTTGTGTATTTAGTCTCTGTGTTTCATGTAGTCTGTGTCGCGTCGTCTGTGTTCTCACCCCCATGTTTTCACGATCAGTCTTTTGTGAGCATCTTCGTCTCAGAGTTCTCTTAGTTTGTCACAGTATTAGTTTTCCCAGTTTAGTTATAGTTCAGCCACGCTATCCCTGCTGTGTTTGTATTCCTGGTCTTCAGTCATATTAAAGGCTCGCTTTCTGTTAAACTCACTCCCGTCTACTCACTTGTGTACGCTCCTGGGTCCATTACACACACCACCGCACGGCCTGCCTCTGCAGACCGTGACAGTACGACGCGACCACGACATGGACCCAGCGATTCACAACCCCTCTGCTGACCTCCGGGAGGATCTGATTTATACAGTGGAGTATCACTGTCAGGAGTGGGTGGCGCTGCCCGAGGGTGAGTACCGGGAGACCGTAGCCGTCCGCCTACAGCGGATGGTGTCCGGACTCCCGTGGCTATTCGGCGCGCTCCGCCCCCACATCCAGGACTTCCTCGTCTCCACTGTAGGCGTCCTCCCGGAGCAGTCGCTCCTGTACGAAGAGCCGGAGGATGTTCAGCCCGGCCTGCTGACGGATTCGCGGCCCGGCTCGTCTCCTCCCCCTTCCCGGAGAAAACGGCGTCCCCGCCGTCGCCGTTCCCGAGCAGTGGAGCAGTTTTCACCCCTGGGAGAGAGTGACCGTGTGTCACACTCTCAGCCCGAGCCTTCGGATCCCGGACTCCATAACTCATGCACAATCGTGAGTGGCGCTGTTTTTTTGACACTGGACTTGGATAATTCTGTTCCCTTTTTTTTGGACTCCAGGGACACTATACAGCGAGGCACCTCCGTGTCCGATCATTCACCTGGTGCTCTCGCTGGTAACCCCTGTGTTTTTGAGCCCTCTGATTCAGGAAACGCTCGCAGCGTTTCCTTTGGTTTAGCGGATATGGCGGTGTCACCCGTGGAGGTAACTGAACCTAAGACTGTTATTTCTCACCAGACTCATCTACACACTGCTACTAGCATTGTAGCCCCGCAGAACTGTGTTACTCCGCCCTTGGACTCTAGGGTTTCCCGTTCAGAGTTCAGCCATACACCGGTAGCATCATTAGCTCTAGATATAACGGTGCATGCTGAGGAGCACAAACCATCAGAGACCATGTGTTCTATAGCTAATGCTCCTCCTAGTGACTGTTTCATGTTCCAGCCTATTTTGTCTTTAGACATTCCTGATATTTCTCAGCCTACTCCTCAACCAGCCACTGCCTTCGCGGCTCCTCAGAGAGTTACTAAGAACAAGACCTGTGTTGCTGAGCCAGCCAACTTAACATCTACGCTTAGCGTTCTGCCTGAGCCAGGTGACACAGAGACTAGTAGCCATTCCTCTGCCATGAACAGTGTAATCTTTAAACCAGCTCTTGTATCTGTGACTCCCAGTGTTGCTCCTTCAGTTTCTCAGGCTGTGGTTTTTCCTGTGCCACAACTTGAAAGTGCTAACTCGGACGCTACCTGTGTAAACTCACCTTCTCTCGTGCCTGCTAAGGTTAAGAGCCGCAGGATTTCATCTGCTATACATAGACTGGCAAATGATTTTGGTTTGAGCACTGCAGAACTGTTTGCACAGGTTAAATTCTCTGTTCCACACTCATGTCAGTTTAACTCTGTGCGCCCTGCTTTTCGGGCAGGTTACATAGACTCTATGTGCACTTCGTCTCGTGCTACATTCTGTACCGCTGTGTGTAGTGTTGTCTCACATTCAGGTTGTCCTGACGCTGCTTGTGTGAGTTCTCCTGTACCTGTGGCCGTACCTAAACTCACTCTTTCCAAAACTGCTAATTATGACACGAACAACTTAAGTACAGCAAAGTTGCTAGAGCCAGCCCTCCATAAGTCTCTGTTTACTGACGCTGTGTTTGGCTCCACTATTTTGATTTTCCCTGTGTCTGTTTCTGTTGCTGTGCTTCGCTCTCCAACTCCAGTTCCTGTAACCAGGGCAGCGCGGGCCCAGCTTTCCCTTGCTCCCGTATCAGTTCCTCGGGAGAAGGTGGCTGAGGTCCAGCTGGTCCCTGCTTCTGTCCCCAGCCTGGCAGGGGCTCCGTTCATCCCAGCACCCGTACCTGCTCCTCGGGTGGGGTTGATGGACACCCAGCCTTTGCCTGCTCCTGTTCCGGTTCCCCGGGTGAGGTCAGCCGTGACCCTGCCGACTCCTGCACCCGTCTCAGTTCCTCGGGTGGGAGCGACAGAGGCCCAGCTAGCTCCTGCACCTACACCGGCCCCCAAGGTAAAGGCAGCCAGAGCCCAGCTCGTCCCTGCACCCGTATCTGTTTCTCGGGTGGGGATGGCTGGTGTTCGGCCAGGCCCAGCACCCGTTCCTGTTCCCCGGAGGAGAACAGCCAAGAGCCAGTCACCAGCTCAGTCACCAGTTCAACTCCCTGTTGGCCCACCATCTCTGCAATCACCATTACAACTTGCACTTCTGTCCATAACGCAGTCAGTAGCACAGTTAGTAGCACAGTTTTCTGTTCTGTCACCAGCTCCGTCTCTAGCTCAGTTAGCTCAGTCACCAGCCGAGTCTATAGCTCAGCAACCCATTCAAGCACTGCCAACTTCAACTGAAAGCCTTTGTGAGCTTTCTCCGCCAGCTGAGGACTGCGCGGTGCTGACAAACTTTGGACAGACTGTTTGCCCTGCACAGCCCCAGCCGTTGCATCCTAAGCCGGCTGCGTGCCCTGTGCCGCTACAGTTAGCGTCCGCTGTGCCAGAGGTCCCCGCACCTGCTGGCTCTGCATCCGTTTCCGCTGGGGGTTCAGGAGAACCTCTCCAGCATCCTGTCTCCGCTGGAGGGTCCGAGGGGCCCGTTCAGCCTCCTGTCTCCGCTGGAGGGTCCGAGGGGCCCGTTCAGCCTCCTGTCTCCGCTGGAGGGTCCGAGGGGCCCGTTCAGCCTCCTGTCTCCGCTGGAGGGTCCGAGGGGCCCGTTCAGCCTCCTGTCTCCGCTGGAGGGTCCGAGGGGCCCGTTCAGCCTCCTGTCTCCGCTGGAGGGTCCGAGGGGCCCGTTCAGCCTCCTGTCTCCGCTGGAGGGTCCGAGGGGCCCGTTCAGCCTCCTGTCTCCGCTGGAGGGTCCGAGGGGCCCGTTCAGCCTCCTGTCTCCGCTGGAGGGCCCGAGGGGCCCGTTCAGCCTCCTGTCTCCGCTGGAGGGCCCGAGGGGCCCGTTCAGCCTCCTGTCTCCGCTGGAGGGCCCGAGGAGCCCATCCAGCCACCCTCTGCTGCAGCCTCAGAGCCTTCGTCTGCTGCAGCCTCAGAGCCTTCGTCTGCTGCAGCCTCAGAGCCTTCGCCTGCTGCAGCCTCAGAGCCTTCGCCTGCTGCAGCATCCGAGTCTTCAGCCTCGCCTGGTCCAGCCTCCGAGTCTTCGTCCTCGTCTGGTCCAGCCTCCGAGTCTTCGTCCTCGTCTGGTCCAGCCTCCGAGTCTTCGTCCTCGTCTGGTCCAGCCTCAGCTTGTGCTTCGCCTGGTCCGGCCCCCGCATCGCCACCGTCTGGTCCTGCCTCGTCTGGTCCTATGCCCAGGCCATGGCCAGCACGCCTGAGACTGGAGAGCCGCCGCTGCCTTCCGCGCGGCCGGCCTCCTGAACTGCTCCGTCGTCTCCTTCGTCGCCGCCGCCGCTGCCTTCCGCGCGGCCGGCCTCCTGAACTGCTCCGTCGTCTCCTCGCCGCCGCCGCTGCCTTCCGCGCGGCCGGCCTCCTGAACTGCTCCGTCGTCTCCTCCGCCGCCGCCGCTGCCTTCCGCGCGGCCGGCCTCCTGAACTGCTCAGTCGTCTCCTCCGCCGCCGCCGCTGCCTTCCGCGCGGCCGGCCTCCGGACCAGCTCTGTCACCTGTGCCACCCGCCTGGTCGGCCCCCCGACCGTGTGACCCGTGAACTCTTGTGCCTGTGGGCTCTGGGTCGGCCCCCTGAACTTTATTTGAACTATGGTCTTGTGCTCCTGTGTTTTCTGTTGCTCGTTTTTGTTTTCTGTTCCGAGCCCTCCGTCCTGGCCCCGCCGCCCGCCCTGGGTCGTTTTCTGTTTGGTTTTTGTTTTCCTGTGTTTGGGCTGTCTGGAGCCAGCCCTTATGGGGGGGGTGATGTCATGGTCCTGGGCCATGTTGGCCCAGTATTCTTAGTTTTCTTGTATGTTTGTATTTTGTTCCCTATTTAGGCCATGTTTCCTGAGTTGCCCTGTTGTGTTGTTCCCTGAGTGTTTTCCCTTCATGGCTTTTACCCCCTGTGTGCCCCTCTGTGTATCTGTGAGCCCTCGTCCCTCCTTGTTTCATTCCATGTTTCCTCAGCCCACTATGCCCGCGCTCTCTCTCTCTCCTCCTGTTTGCACCTGTGTACTTCCTGTTTTATTTGAAGTCATGTCTCTCGTCAGTGTTGTTTTACTCTCCCATGTCATGTTATGTATATCTGCTCCAGCTGTGTCTCCTCCTGTGTGCCCACTTCCCCTGATTACATCCCCTGTGTATTTAAGCCCTGTGTTTTCTGTGTCTGTGTCGGTCGTCTGTGTTCTCACCCCCATGTTTTCACGATCAGTCTTTTGTGAGCATCTTCGTCTCAGAGTTCTCTTAGTTTGTCACAGTATTAGTTTTCCCAGTTTAGTTATAGTTCAGCCACGCTATCCCTGCTGTGTTTGTATTCCTGGTCTTCAGTCATATTAAAGGCTCGCTTTCTGTTAAACTCACTCCCGTCTACTCACTTGTGTACGCTCCTGGGTCCATTACACACACCACCGCACGGCCTGCCTCTGCAGACCGTGACAGACAGTCCTGTTTTATCCTTTAACCAGCCACGACCTGCCCATAAGTACACCTCTCCACTCACAACAATATTACATGGGACAAATGCATCCGATCCTGTACAGGCAGCACAACCCATCATAATGACTAAGGCAAGATGTGCATATTGCTGCTCACCTGAACACCACATTAGCAAGTGCCCTGAGTTCATTAACAAGACAAAGGATGAGAAAATAAACTGGATAAAGAGAAACAAACGGTGTTGGCGTTGTGCTAGAACTCATCAGGCTGCGAAGTGTGATCTGAGGAAAGCATGTGCCACCTGCATGGAAAGACATCTACAGATCCTATGTGAGGTGAATCAGAGACCTAGAACTGAAACTAATCCTGTAGTGAGGACACTGTACTTTGATAGACCTAGCGATTGTCCTAGTGTACTATTAAAGGTTGTGAAAGTGCTCCTGCGTAATGGCAAAAGAACCCTGGAAACATATGCAATACTTGATGATGGCTCCCAACGTACCATGCTTCTGACATCTGCAGCTAAGCATCTCCACCTAACTGGGAAAGCTGAAAAATTATCACTCAGAACTGTCCATCAAGAAGTTGAAACTATTCAAGGTTCTTGTGTAAGTTTCCAGATTTCTCCCATCGCACATCCAGAGAAAACTTACACAATTAATAATGCCTTCGCTACAAGTCACTTAGCACTTTCAGACCACACCTACCCCGTATCCTCTCTTCAACGGAGATACAAGCATCTTCAAGGTATCCCATTAACCTTTATTAACAAAGCAGCTCCACTACTGCTCATAGGCTCTGATCATACCCACCTTATTACGCCTATTGCACCAGTTAGACATGGACCATTTGGATCTCCTGCAGCAGTCAAAACCCGCTTAGGATGGACACTCCAAGGTCCAATCACAGACTTCCAACCCCAGAGCAGTTCCACGCATGCCCAATGTTTATTCACATCTTCCAGTTCAGGTTCAGGAGAACCGCTCCAGCACATCCTTGTGTCCGCTGATGGCTCTGAATTCATTCAGCCACCTCATACTCTACCATCAGCAGTACCTATGTCGTCACCGGCAGTGCCACTATCACCAGTTCCACCGCCTGTGGCTGCCATTCCGCCAGTGGTCAGGGCGCTGCCTGCTCCTGCATCACCTGGTCCTGCCTCTGCCAAGCCCCGTACATTGCCCCCAGCACCTGCAAAACTGCCCAACGGTCTGCAGGTCTGGGCCTGCTGCTGCATCCCACGTGGTTGGCATTTGGACCTGCTTTGCCGCCACCGCTGGCTACATGGTCGGCCCCCTGAACTGTCTGGCCTGCATTGTCGACCTCTAGGTCGACCCCCTGAACCTATATTAGACCTGTAGCATGTCTGATTCCTCTGCCCCCGCTTTGTGAAAAAGAGCATCTCTAATCCTTTGAACATATTTCTCAGTAGAAATATGGGGGCGGCTGTTGTAAAGGCTCACCTTTCAGCACATTCACTTCACCAGATGCACCTTGTTTCTTTTCCTCACCTTTGATTGGGTGTGGTGCTTGGCCTTAATTGCACTCACCTGTCACTCGTTATATAAGGACTGCACTCACCTACCCCTCACTCTTTCTTCACTCCCACATGGGGCGGCAGCTGAGGTGAGTTTCTCTTTGAGTCTCCTGAGTTCATGTATCATTTTGAGTTACTTAAATCATACTTTATGTCCTTTTTAGAGAGAGCAGTCCATGTGTGTCTTTCTTTCCTTTACCCATTATTCAATAAAACGACAAAACCTGTAAATGATTGACTGCTTATTCTCATTCTAATCGGATGAGCCCATGATGATGACTACTTAAACCCTGAACCTTCCTTCCTCCAAAACAAAAGCTTTTAAAAAAAAACCCTCATAAATGAATTGTCTTTGTGTATAGTACCTGGGTAGGTTTGATGAGTGACAATAGGTGGACAAAAGAGGGCTAAGGTTATGGACCCCACAAGAACCAGGGAAACTTGGAGTCAGCTTCTCATGTTGCAAACATTTTTTTTTAATCATCCCCATATTTTTGTCATCTTTTTCAACATACTTTTCATGTTATTGTTCTCCTTGGTTGCTATTTTGTTAAGCATAATTATGCACTTGAAATGATCATAAACTACCTACTACAGACACTTATGCCTGTAGAATAACAATAACATCATGTGATTAATGACACAGCAGCATCAGTTTGATGACATTCTGTCTGTTGCTGTCAAAATGCATTTTGGTCTTTTAGATTTTTAGCCTTAATACAGTTTAAATTAGATGAGACACATAAAAGTTCATAAAGCTATAATGAGGAGGAAACTGACTAAAGAGATTTTCTCTTTAGTCAGTTGATAATCTCTCCCACTGGAATAGCGTCTTTATTTTTTCTTTTCAGTTTTCTTTTTTTTTTTTTTCTAGTTCTTTCCTACTATCCATACTTGTCTACTGACTACCGCAGCAGTAGTAATACGATGGCACTATTCCAATATG